TGAGCAAGGTAACCCAGTCACAAAAAGACAAACGTGGTATGCACTCATGTGTACTCATGGATTTTAGACATAGAGCAAAGGATTACCAGCCTACAATCCACACTGCCAGGGAAGCTAGGAAACAAGGAGGACCCTAAGAGAGACATACATGGTAGGGAAATGTCTGGAGATCTATAAGGATGACACCAACTAACAATCTAAGCAACAGAGGAGAGGCTACCTTAAATGCCCTCTCCTGATAATGAGATTGATGACTAATTCATATGCCATCGTATAGCCTTCATCCAGCAGCTGGTGGAAGTAGAAGCAGACACCCACAGCTAAACACTGAATTGAACTGGAATCCAGTTGCAGAGAAGTGATGAGCAAAGGGGTTCACACCAGGCTGGTGAAACCCACAGAAACAGCTGGCCTGAAAAAGGGGGAGCTCATGGACCCCTGTCTGATAGCTGGGAAACCAGCATAGGACTGTTCCAGACCCCCTGAACATGGGTGTCAGTGAGGAGGCCTTAGCAATCTATGGGTTCTCTGGTGGTAGATCAGTATTTATCCCAAGCATACGAATGGACTTTGGGAGCCCATTCCACATAGAGGGATACTCTCTCAGCCTAGACACATGGGGGAGGGTCTAGGTCCTGCTCTAAATGATGTGATAGACTTTGAAAATCCCCATGGAAGGCCTCCCCCCTCCCTGGGGAGCAGAAAGGGGATGGGATAGGGATTTGGTGAGGAGCAGGGGAGGAGGGGAGGAAGAGGAAACTGGGATTGACATGTAAAAAAGCTTGTTTCTAATTTAAATTAAAAAATGTCAGAAACTATAATAATAATAATAATAATAATAATAATAATAATAATAATAATAAGAAGAAGAAGAAGAAGAAGAAGAAGAAGAAGAAGAAGAAGAAGAGGAAGAAGAATTGAAGAAGAAGAAGAATTATTTCCAAAGACGTTTAACCCAATGGACAATGAGCATCCCAGCCTTACTCCTGATCTTAAGAGGGAAACATCTGAAATTTCACCATTTACTACTGTTTCAGTGGTTTTTCAAAAATCACTTTCATCATGCTGAATATGTTCTCTCATCTCTAATGCCCTGATATTGTTTTAATTATGAAAGGCTGAATTCTATGAAATGACTTTTGTGTTTCAACTGAAAAAATCATATTCCCTCTAAGTTCCATTGATATGATGTATTATGATGATTATTTTTCTTTTTTTACATTATAGTCTTACTCAGCTATGAACTTTATGAACCACAATATCAACCTACAGGTATTGTACACCCACTAGTACCACAGCCGCACAACTGTTATGGAGATAACCAACTGCCCTGTTTGGATTTGAGGCTTGTGCTATGAGAAGGAATTCATGCCTAGGTTACTGATTTGAGACCATAGAATGCTGCCTTCACAGTATCTATGAGCTCTGAAATGACATGCTCCCACTCTCATCTTAATTTCCTTGGGTTTCTTCTTTGGCTCACTGGCTGTTTAACATCTGTGTGTTTTTGAGCATCCCAGTTTTTCTTCTGTTGGTTTTCAGCTACATTCTTTTGTGACTAAAGAAGATTCTTTGCAGAAATTCAATATTTTTACATTTACTGAGATTTGTTCTGTGGCTTAACCCGTGGTCAATTCTTGAGTTTACCACAACAACTTAAAAAGGGTTTGCATTCTACTGTTGTTGGGTAAAAGCTAACATACCTGTTAAGACAAGTTGGTCACAATTCTATTGATGTTCTGCACTGCTAGAAGTGGGACTCCTACTGCACAAGTTTTTCTCTCTTTACATCTGTGAAAGTCATTCTTGTCCATTTTCAGTGGTACTGGAAATCAAACCACCGGGCAAGTATCCTACACCTGAACTTTTACCTCCTGCCCTCTTTGTGCAGTTTTCCTTTTGTGGCAGGGTTTCATTAAGTTGATCAGGCTTAAACCTTGTAGCCCTTCTGCTTTTGCCTCCCAAGAAGCTGAGACTACAGTCCAGTTCCTCCAAACACCACTAAAAATTATTCTTCCTGGAGTAAAAATGTGGCTTAAAATTATATTTATATACCTTTTATAAAGAAAGTCCTATTTTAGGAAAACATCCTAAGGAATGAATAGGTATTGTGGGTAGCAGACAAAGCATTTGAATGAAGCTAGTGGAGTATCACAACAGTAACCCACTTCCAGCTCCCCCAGTCTTTGCTGGCCTAACTCCTACTTACACTTTGAGACAGAGGTCCCCAAACCAAGATTTCATGGGTCAGTGCCATTTTGAAATACCTTTTAGAACTGAATTGCTTTTTTCTTTTTACTTTTATCAAATTAAGATACAAAACCCAACAACCATTGCCATTACCGGTATCACCTGAAATCACTATCCTTGTATACTATACACCAAATGATGAGAATTTCAGAATAAAGACAATATTGGCCAAAAAAGTTAAATTTATATGCCAAAGATAAGTAAATTAACCTAAGGAAATTATATATAGTATGTTCATAATCACAGCAAACACTTACTGAGCCTGTTTTGGGGAAGTTTTTTTCTCAGGAGCTATTCAGTCTCTTTCTTATTTAGGGTCTTTTACTGGGTCCTGGTTTTGATGATTAGGTAGGCTGACTGGCCATAGCAAAACCCAGGGATCCACCTGCTACCTCTCCAGCACTGGGGTGATAGATGCACTACACCATTCCTGGCTTTTTATGTGGGTACTTGGGATTGAATTCATGTCCTCATACTTTATAGCAAGCATTTTACTGACTGAACTATCTCCTCAGCCCCACTCCCCCTTTTGGGCCTTTTATAGTGTCAAGCTCTAGTAAAAATCTTTAAATGTATTATTTACTACATAGTTATGTTATTATATCAAATCTGACATGTAATTATAAGTCTTCAATGTAGCAATTTTTTTAGAAAAAATGAAAAGCATACTACTATATGAAACATAGCACTAAGAATTAGAAAACCTAATTTAGATTATACATGTCAATGTGACTACAAAACTCTTTAATTCTTAGGGGTTTCAACTTCCTCAAATGAAAATTATGTTTTATGCATGAAGATGTTATAATAAAACACACTCATTTGTTTGCCAACCTAAAAAATTTTTTACAAGAGGGCAAGAGAGATGGCTCAGTGGTAAAGAGCACTGACTATTCTTCTGCAAGTCCTGGGATTGATTCCCAGCACCCACACAGCAGCTAACAACCACCTGCAACTCCAGTTCCAGGGGATCTGACCCTCTTCTAACTTCTGCAGGCACTGCACACATGTGGTACACAGACACAAGACACGTATATGTGTAACATAAAAGCAAATCAATCTCAAAAATATTTAATTAGGTAAATTGCCATTGTGGGGAAAACTGGGCACTCCTAGAAAGACGAGAACGATGTTTTGGGGTTAGTGTTGATCCTGACTTGGCTGGATGTGAGGTGCCTCTAGCTACTTCTAGGTGTGTCTTCGAGACCATCAGTGACACCAACAGATCACAAAGGCTCTGCTCTCTCACAGATTAACCCTTTGATGGATTTCCTGGGAAGACAGTGAAAGGAAGAAGTGGAGCCTACCTGGAGGGAGGAGAGCACTGGGAAGGACACATGTGCTTGAGGGCTGTTATCCTGTCCACTTCCTGCACTGCCCCTTTGAGTTCCTGCGTGCCAACAAGTGAACATTCTTTTCCTTCATAAGTTCCACCACGATGTTCTGCCTCCTAACAGGCCCAGAACCAATAAACCAAGCCATACAATAGGAGCTCTCAAACAAGGAAGGCAAAATAAGGAATTCCTTTCTTACATTGTTTTCTCAGGTATTTTGGTCACAGTAGTGAAAAAGCTAAGAAAACAAATGTCTCAGACTTTTAGGTTGCACTCTCTAGTTCTTCTGTATTAAGTAAAAGAAACATCAGAGTTTCCACTGACATTCAGTCATCAAAGCTAATGCCAATTCTACCACACAACTGATTCAATGAAAAGCACATGTATTAAACAAGCATTAAAGAAATGACCACACACAGAGGACAGGTTAATAATACATTTGTCTATGTTTTGAATAAGCAAGGTTACAGTTCTGGCGAGAAAACAGATCTGTGAGTTAGTCATTAAACCTTGAGGCACTTACTATAAGGATTCAAAAACAGCACAAAAGGCGCATCCTAAGATACCACTCAGTTGATTCTGACACACTCTTCAGCATTTGCAATGCCATCACTGCTATGAATTACTGAGTACAATGAGTTGTGAGCTTGCACATGTACTTATGTATCCCTGGAGCAGAAGCCATGGATGAGAAAATTAAAAGAGGAGGCAGGCAAATATTCCATTCAGCGTTACTCAGCTAGTAACTAGTCAGGCTAGAACTTAAAACTGGGTCATCTGGCCAGAGCTGGCCTCTCTCGGGTCATTTACAAAACAGGTAGAGGCATGATGATTAATTCTGACTGTCAACTTCATAGGCTTGAGAATTATCACAGAATCAAACCTCAGGCATGTCTATAAGGGAGTTCCTAGATTGGGTTAACCTAGGTGGGAGGACACACCTTGGAGTCATAGACTCAACAAACTGGGAAGGGTGAGATGAGTGCCAGCATGTATCTCTTTCTACTTCCTGACTGCAAGTGTGATTTGACCGCAAGATCTGCTGTTATGCCATCCTTGCCATCATGAACAGCACCCTCAACTCATCAGCTAAAACAAATATTTCTTTCCCTAAGTTGCCTTAATCAAGCATTTTGTCACAGCAAGAAAAAGTGTCAAATTCAGGGCACCCTGGTATCTTATAACAACATGATTCAGATTACCAGGACACCCTGTTCAGGTAGGCAGTCCTTGGTGGATTTCTACTCTCTACCACACAAACCCGAATGTGATGAGCAAATCTGTGTCAGCTCCCAACCAGTAAGAATGAGATGTAGGACTAGACTGGAAGCAGAGGTAGTTTTCATTCATCACCCAGCCTTCCTATAAAGCCTGCCGAGAAGAGAATTCACCCAGGGTCATAAGGTCAAGCAGTACCTTCAGTCCCTCCAGTTCATTTTCCAGTTGTTTGGAATAGTGTTCACTCTGCTCTCGCAGCTTCCTGTCCTTTGATGCTTCAGCAATTAGAGCCTCAGTGTGAACTTCCAGCTTCAAAATAAAAAGGACAGAATTCATGGTTAGTTTTCAAAGCACCTTTCCCCAAGAAAATATATAGCTCAAATGGTGAGATTCACACTAGTTTATAGAACCAAGCTACAAAAGAACTTTTATCAAAAATTAAAGAATGGGATGCACATTACTTCACTAGTCTCTAAGTGCAGTTTAAAGCACTACTCCACAGATACTACAAATTTGCCTGGCTACTGACCTCTTTCTTGGCTCTCTCTGCTCTGCGCAGCTCTTGCCTTAAGCTCTCAGCTTTTTGCATCACCAGGTCCACCTCTTCTTCCTTATCTCGGACATGGCGAGCAAGTTTCTGTTTTTGGGTGTGCAATTCTGTTAGTCGCTCATTGATCTCCATGAACTCCTGCATGGCCAGTTTCCTCTGACAGTGTGCGTCTTTCAGCTCTTTGGATTGGTTTTTTAATCGCTCACTAGCCTGGACTAGTTCCTACAGTTTTGTAAAAAGAATATATGTTACCAAATCTGCAACCTGGACACCACATTTGGCCATGAAAGTAGCTATTATTACGTCATGAAGAGCCAAAATTATTCACCTCAATACAATACTAAAGTAGATGGATTACTCCTAAAGACACAAAGGTAATGATGACTTGTTTACCTTCTCAAACTCGTTTTTTGTTTTTTGCTTTTTTTTTTTTTTTTTTTTCCGAGATAGGCTTTCTCTGTGTAGCTATGAAGCCTATCCTGGCAGTCGCTCTGGAGACCAGTCCGGCCTCTAACTCACAGAGATCCGCCTGCCTCTGCCTCCCGAGTGCTGGGTTAAAGGCATGCACCACCAACACCCGGCTTCAAACTCGTTTTTAAATTTTATTTTTACTTATGTGTATTTGTGTCTAACCTGTATTATATATGTGCACCATGTATACAAAGAACCTATAAAACTGAAGTTATAGACAATTGTTGGCTCCCACATGGGTGCTGGGAACTGAAATCTGCAAGAGCAGCCAGTGCTCTTGATCAATAAGCCTTCTCTGGCACCAACTCTCAAATTTTTATGCTGGCATGAAAATGCAAAAAGGCAGCTGAATGAGCAGAATATAAAAATATTAACTATGATATTCAAGATACTTTGTAAAATTTAATAAATATTTGGGCAATTTTTTAATTAAATTGAATAACTGCAAATAACAACAACAAACAGATGACTTTCTCTTCCTGAGAAGAATAAGCCCTAGACTAATTAACAAGGAGAAATATCCCTAAATCTGAGATTACTGCTTTAGAGGTGCTTTGTAGACTCAGGTCCATGCAACTGGAGGAAGGAACTTCAAGGCAATTTGGCTTATTCACACATTAACAGTGAATAAACATGAGCCCATTATCTATAGATTCCCAAAGAACCAAAGAACAGAACTGTAGGGGAAGCTGTAGCCACGCCTACTTAGGGGCTGGCTACAGGTGTGCCTGACCACGCTTGTGAGGGCATGGTCAGAGTGACGTAGTGTGACTGCATTTGCGCTTTCGGTTTCACCTTTGCTTCTTGCTGTACAGACTGCTACCACGCCGGCTGGCTAGGTCGCTCTGTAAGGCTTTTCCCTATTAAATACCCTTATATTTCTACCTGACTCCGTATTGGTAATTTCCTACTATACAGAATCGCTATAAGGAATTAATGGCAACAATAGGAAACAAAAATAAATACCAGAAGTATTTGGGCATTATTAGATCCTGGCATAAGAGTGATATGTATGAGATATTAGAAGAAATAAAAGGATTTATCGTAAAAACTGGGAAATGAGAAAAGACTAATAAAAACTATCACAGAGGTTTATTAAAGTATCTGCAGGACATTTAGACATTAAAGAGATATGCATCAAACTTAAAAGCACACACACACACACACACACACACACAGAGACAAACAGACAGACATATATATGATATAGGAAACAATATTTATGAAGCAAGAGAAAGAAATTCAAACTAAACCCAGAAAATGTATAAAAATGAAAATGGGTAACACTACAAAAATAAAAAGCTCCAAAGCATTTTGGGGGCTGGCGAGATGGCTCAACAGTGAAGAGCATTGTGTAGTCATCCATAGAACTGGGGTTGGACTTCTGGCACCTATGTAGGGCAGCTCACAACGATCTGTAACTCTAGTTCCAGGAGAAATTATGCCCTATTCTAGCTTCCTTGGGCATACAAACAGTGCCAGCAAAACACTCATACATGTAAAACAAAATAAAAAAAAAAAACAGATAAAGGAATAAAGAATTTGGGAGGCCAATGAGATGGCTCAGTGGGTAAAAGCACTGCTTTTGATCCCCAGGTCCTGCAAGGTGGACAGAACTGACTTCTGCAAACTGCTAATCTGCCGTCTACACCCATGCTACAGAGGGTGCACACATGTGCATATAGACACATATGAATACATGCACACGCACATGCACACACATGAAAGGAATACATTTAAAAAAGAAATTTGGAATGGAAGCAAATAATTTATATTCTACTCTCAGGAAAAAAAAAAAGATCATCATACTCAGAAGAGTCAAATATTAGGATGAGTGGAAAAATACTCAAAGAGACAAGAAAAGGTTGCTGTATACTCAAAAATTATTTCTGAAGTACAGCAAATACTAACAGCACTTATCACTAGCAGATCTACACTAAAGTAAACTCTATACCTTTACTTAAGGAAAAGAAAACTGTTTTAGAAAGACAATGGCACACAAGGGAAACAGGACTAAGAGCCTGGTACACATGGATGTGAAGAAATGTGTATGAGATTTTATTATTTTAAATATCTGATTCATAGTTACTAGTAAATATACATACTAAGTATCTGTGGAAACCACACATAAATTGGAAGTATTAAGAGAATCAAAGGACCTTAAGAATTTTGATGACTAGTTCAATTTAGATTTTGTTAACACGCACAGTAAAATTCAAATGCAAACACCCAAAGACCAGAACTAGTAGAAAGTAAAACATGAACAAGAAAACAAAGAGTAAGACATGATTTAGCAAAACAAAAAGAATTCTGGAGACTGGTTTCTTAGCAATGCACACATACTTACCACTGATGAACTATGCCTCAAAGAGGTTAAGATGCTATGCTACAAGCATTTTAGCACAATCATATTTTGTTAAAATAATGACACAAAAGAAGCACAGTATGACAAATACAAGGGAAAATGAAACAGAAACATACCCATATACATTAGTAATCAGAATAGATACAAAGGACCAAACTCACCAGATAAAGTTAGTTTGTTATACCAGAAAAGCAAAATCTAGACCGTAGCAGAAAAGCATTGTTAGGAATACATTACTAAACAACCACAGAACTCAAAAGAGCAGGAAGCCAACCCATTCTAACATTTAGTGAATTCTGTAGGTTAGTCTTAAAGTGCATTGAAAAGAAATTGCCTGAAATAGATAACATTAGAAAATAAATAACCAATCATCACAATGAGAATTTTGATTTCCTAATCATTAATTATCAACAAGGTAGAACAGTGACTATAAAGACAACCTGAAATAGAGCCCATGCCTATTAAATATAGCATCTGGGAGGGTTATAATGAATCTGAGGTCAGTCTGCTTTATGAACTGAGTAGAAGGCTATCCTGGACTAAAGAAAAAGACTGTCTTACAAGGGTTTGAAACATTCTAGTAAGCTTTCTATGTATAGAAGTTTGCACACTGTCTCGGGAATATATACTTTTTCTATATAAAAGATATCCACACCACCCACATCTGTAGCACTGGCCACACCCATTTGGGCGTGGTCACAGGTGAGGACATGATGGGGAATGATTTTGGTCTGGCGTCCAGGCAGGTGACTCTCTCGAGCTTCCGGTCAGGTCACAGGGAGCATCCTGTGCAGATCCTTAGGTCAGGAAACTACAGCGGCTATCTACTTCTTGTTTAAGTGACTTCTCTCTGAAATAAATTATACTTAATATTTGAACCTAGTCCCATGAATCCTTATGTGTGCCACCTCATCCGGTGCCCAAGCCAGGAACACGGGCAGAGTCGCTTGACTAGCCCAGCAGGACAGGGTGCAGCTAGTGGGGAAGTGGATAATATGTGTATAATGTACACTGAATATTTTTAAAATAACACTAAAGTCTAAGTCATGAAGCAACCTCAGGAGATTTCAAACATACACAAATGACATGCTTCATGGCACTGCAATGAAATAATAAATTAGCAAGAAAATTAAATAATTTCCTATAGGGAAAACTTCAAGATGCATTTATAAGAAGATAATTTATCAAGAAGAAAAATGATCCATACAAAAAATATATAAAACTAAAATTTTTGAAATAAAAAACAGCATAATGTTTCACATATACTAAAACCTGGTACTAAAGTAAAGCTATATGGAAACTGTTGTAGAATATTATTTTAAGATGTATTACATTTGTTTATATGGTGGAACATTTGTTTAATGATGCAAAGATGTGTTGCTTTCTTTTATGTTGCACTTGTTTAACTCTTGAAGCTGTGTTACTTTGTCTAAAACACCTGATTGGTCTAATAAAGAGTTTAATGGCCAATAGCAAGGTAGGAGAAAGGATAGGTGGAGCTAGCAGACAGAAAAATAGGAGGAGAAATCTTGGAAGAGAAAATCAAGGAGTAAGAAAAGGAGAAGGAGAGGAGGCTGTCAGGGGCCAGCCAACCAGCTATACAGCCAGCCATGAAGTAAAGAAAGGTATATAGGATAAAGGTAAAAGTCCAGAGATAAACAAGGATAATTTAAGAAAAGCTGTCAAGAAACAAGCCAAGTGAAGGCCAGGCATTCATAAGAAAATAATAAGCCTCCGTGTATTTATTTGGGAGCTGGGTGGCAGGCCCCCAAATGAGCCACCAAGTAAAAAAAAAAATCCAACTATAGGAAACACAGTCTGAAACAGAAAGGAGAAAGAGGGCAGATTTTACAGAGTCCATATAAGAGAGAACCTACCCAATAACAGGAAGAACATAGTTTCACCCATTTTTGAGACTAGCATGATCTTATATAAAAAAGTCAAGAAAAGTAAAAGTGTAGGCCAACTTAATTCATAGAAAGATTTAAAAACCTTATTATGAGCAAATCATTTCCAGTGATGTATAAAATCCCTAGACAGGAGCTTTTGAATTAGACTCAACGTATATAGAAATGCTAAAATGCTAGCTCTACCACTTATCACCAATAACCCTGAGCAAGTTAACACCTCAGTATTCAGCCTCAGTATTAGTCAAAGAGGAAAATTAAAATAACACATAATTCATGGGTCATTGTAAAGATGAAACAACATTGTGTGTGTGTGTGTGTGTGTGTGTGTGTGTGTGTGTGTGTGTGTGTGTGTATGTGTGTGTTGTATGTGTACATATATGTATAAAAATACCTGATGGCATTTAAAACATCACTATAAACATAATCCACATAAACATGACCTATGCTATCATATTATTATTAAAAATGATACATGGGTAATTTGGACTTAAAATGTGTTTCATATTAGAAAAACTCTGTTAATATAATTCACCATACAAAGAATTAAGCAGAATCATATAAATGGTGTATAGGAATGAACTCTGTGTAAACTCAATACTTAGTAATAAAAATTGAGTACCAAAATAGAAATAAAAAGTAATTCCCTTAACCTACTGGGAAATACTTTACAAAAGCATAAATAGTAGTAAACATTATAGTAAAGCATTAGTAGTAAAAGTTCAGGGCATTTTCTTTAAAATCATCAACAGGTTGGTGCCTAATGTTACTACCTCTATTCCACATTATTCTGAGGTCCCAGCTAATACAGTAAGCTTACAGAAGATGGAAACCATAAAAGCCCCAAGTTAGAAACAAAGTAGTTATTATTTACAGAAAAAAATGAAAAGAAATCTAAAACATATCCTGTTAATAAGAGTTCAGCAGTGTTAGACAAGAACTGCTAACAAAAGCCGGAAGAAAACAAAAAATAAAGATATTTAAAATAGGAAATAATAGAATAATAATTTAAAGAAAGGCAAACAATTTCATGAAAGAGCACTTTTTTTTTTTTGGTTTATTCTTGTTATTGAGATGGGGATTTATGGATCCTAGGCTGACCATAAACACCAGGTATCCAAGGACAGCCTTGAATTTCTGAACTTTTAGGCAACATTTCCCTTGTGCAGGAGTCTGTTTAGGCATGTTCAGTACTGGGGACTGAGCACAACGCTCTGTGCATGCCAGGCAAGCAATCTACCAACTGAACCACATTATAAAATTTAAATAACTTTAAATATATGGAAAGCTATTAGAAGACTGCAGCACTGGACAGAAACAGCTTTCGTGTTTTACATAATCAGCCCACCTAAACAAATGCCTCTGAAACTTGGGGCCTTTCCTATATGTGAGCCATAGAAAGTAATTCATAACGAATTCAATAGTGAGGAAATGCATTTACCCTCTGGAGGCATTTCAAGGTGAGGCTGCATGTGCCCTGGCCTATGGGAACTTCTTTGTGAGGCTGGTTATCTGGGGCTTAACTGAGACTTAGAATAGTTAATATTTATTCCAAAGGCACAGAGAAGAGGTCAAGACATTTCTCTTCAGACTTCCAAGGAGACTCAGAAAAAAAAGGAGTGGAGAGCAGTATTGCCTTTTTCTTCTATCTTCATTAACACCTGGACAAACATTTTGAAGGCTCCTCTTCTGTAACACAGATTCCTCCCTTGATGATAATAATCTGCTATGCTCTTATTTATGTGCATTTCCAAAATAATAATAAATATACATGAACTTTGATATAATGTAATATAGTTCATTCTTCCATAATTGATCAGTGGTGAAGTATAATTTTGATTTAAATTCCATCACAGTTTTCAAGGGATATAGACTAATTTAAGAGGGAATTTGCTATATGATGGAGGTGCCATTGCATAACTGAGGAAAGAACAACTATTCTGTCCACAAGCAGCTGGTTAGCTATACTGGAAAAAGAAAAATTAAATTTTATGACACAGTATCAGGCAGCTAGTTAGGTATTTGCAGGTTTGGAGTTTAATAGGAATGGACCCATCTCTTATAACCAGTAGCAGGACTTTTGATCACTTGTCAAAAAATAAGGTCTGAATCGTATTTCTGGCCCTGGTTGGGTAGATGCACATTCAGAATTTACAAGAGTATTGCCTGGCTGAAGGCCTTCTCAGAAAAAATAAAGATATATTACCATCCTGTTCCACAAGAGCCAATCCAAATGGACCTATCAGTCACCTGGACAATGAAAACAACCTCCAGAAACAGCTGTTCTAAAGACTTCAGAAACAGTATAAAGTCTACCTAAGAGTAGGCTGACACAATGGCCTCTTTTACGACTGTCAACTCTCATCCCTGGAGAACATGCTCTGTGCTATAATAAATTCCACCTGTCTTCTACCCTATGCTGTGTGACTGTCTCATAAGGATACAGAGATTATAAGGATCATGGACCAAAGGAAGCACTGAGTAAGATCCCAGTGACAACATGGTAAGCAAAAATGAGTTTCTAGTGTTTAGAGACATAAATATCAAAGATTAAGTTTTAAGAATTAAGGATAAAATTTAGGAGATTATTTTTAAATCTCTGATTTCTTAATAGTGTATGAGCCAGCAAATGCACTATTAAGTGTACTGACAAATGTACATTACACTGTCAAGCTCTGGTTAGGCAGACAGTAAATAGAAAAGCCACTGACAGGTATCTTTAACCTAAACATTTAGTGAAAAACATTAGAAAATTCAAGAATTCTTATAAACAACAAAAGACAACCAAACAGAAAAACATGTAAATTCTTAAGGCATTTTGTAAAAGAAATAACATAAAATGAAGAATGGACATGTAGTTAAAGATACAAGACCATTTAAAAAATTAGACAAATTCAAATTAGACTATAAAGAAACTTGGAGTTAGACCAAAATCTCAATAAAGACAAGACTGACTAAAATAAATAAATGCAGCATATGAAACATCATTAAACACTGAAAGTTCTGTACTATATGAAAGAATATAAAAACTGGAATACTGGAAAACATTTTGGCATTATTATAAAAGCAAAGTATTTGCTAAACTAATTAAAAATAAGCAGAGGACCTAAGTGGACAGTGCTCCAAGGAAGACATTCAAAAGTCAGCTATAAAGAGATATTCAAGATAAACTAATTGCCACAGAAATGAAAAACCAAACCCAGAATTAGATATCATATTACAACTGTCAGAATGGTTATTACAAAAAAAGACAAAAGCAAATAAGCATTGGTTAGGAATGCAAAGAAAATGAAATCTTTTTCCTTCTGCTAGTAGAACATTAACCAAATCGCTTATTATTTTAATATTATACCTTACTGGCATAATGTTTCTTTTCAACACCAACGTCTTTTCAAAATATACTAACATTTAACACTAAAAATACTAAAAACTGCCAAACAACTTGTTCCTAAAAATCAAGATATCAGATTTTTATGTTTATTATGTTAACTAAATTTGACTGTATAGCACTAACAAGACATACAAACTCATCAACCACTAACATTACTACATTATTAAAGGAAAGAGAACCTCTGTCATAGCCAAGTGCTATTATACTGGCCCTGCTTTTAGATGGATCTACAAAAAACTAAAACTCCAACTGCAGTAAGTAGATAAAAAGTGTGCTCATCTAATTCAGTCTCATCTGTAATAGCTTCCTCATCAGTATAAGGTTGTTTTATTTTATTTTAATTCCATTTTCTTAATGGCAGTAAGACTTATAATTTACCCCCAGAAGAACTTCATTCTACATTAATCAGTATTTTGTAGATTAAAACATTAAATACAATTTATTCTGTGCCAGAAACTACTGTCTCTCAACAGGATTGGCTGCCATTAGTCCCAAGTTTGTTGTTGTTGTTGTTGTTAATGACACTACCAACTTGTAGTTCATGTCTTTTCCTACTTTTTTCTATTGGGCTGTTATATAATCTTAGTTACAAATAAATTTTGTTGTAATGCCTAGAACCATTTAAATGTTATACAAAGTTCTTACAAAAATGACTAGTGTTTTTTTTTTCCCCATGTTGCTTTGGAAAAGAAAATGACATTTAAAGAATGAATAAATAAATCATGGAGGAGACCTTAAATTATAACCTATTAGTGTTCATACCAGCACATTACAATGAAAATACATAATGAACTTATGTATCAAAGATACATGACCACATTAGAAATTAGAAAATACAAATTTAGACTGCAATAAAATATCATTTACGATGTAAAAATCTGTATTTAAATTTTTTATAAACATTAGACTCTACGATTTGTTTTTCTTATGTATTTTTCAATAACATTCCTTTCTAAGTCAAAGCTTTTAACTTTCCAAATGAACAAAAGAATTTGAGTTCCCTTATTACTAGCTAATGCACCAAAAGAATTATTAAAAATGTAGGGGGCTGAGAGATAGTTCAGTGGTTAAGAGTACCTACACTGCTCTTGCCGAGGACCCAGGTTCGGGTCCCAGCACTCCAGTACCAGGGGTCCAATGCCTCTGGCTGCAACAGGCACATATACTTAATGTGCACAAAACCTCACCCAGGCACACATAGTTGAAAATAAATCTTTAAAAAATTAAACCATTTAAAACTAATGTTTTAGGTTACTATGCAAATTTCATTTCAAATTTCTACAGAAAAATATATATTGTCATTTATTAGGAATACTTCCAATACTCTAATTATAAAAGATGCAACATTTAGAAACAGCTTTGAGGATCCACTCATATATCCATACCTTATTTAGCTCTTCTCTTTCCTGCTGCAAAGTTTTGATTTGTTTTTCAAAAGCCTTGATTTGCCTAAAAGCATCATCTAGCTCTCGTCTCACAGAATTAGCTTCTTCAAGTTGTTTTTCCAAATGATTCACTTCTGAAAAAAAAAAAACTTTAATTCAGATATACAATCTAAACAAATGAAATGTAGAATATTGATATGCATAACAAGCAATAGTATTTATTCAGAAAGAGTAGTTAATTTTTATTTTCCCCACCTTTTGGATTAAAATATTGACAGTTCTCTTCATTTGAAAAATTACATAAAACATATTTAGCATATTCTAAGTTGCCAAAGACTACGAAATTGGAAAATTACTGCCAAATAACAGGATTTTTTTCTAAAATCAAAGTTATTAAATTATTTAAACTACTATACAAAAGTGAGCCTATATTTATTAAAATCAAGAAAGACATAGCATTGCATAAATTATAGACAGTATTTTAAAGAGAGTCTATTCTAAGATGCCAGTAATTCAGGCTGTTGGGTTTTCATAGGAGATAGCGGTCATTCATACTCCATGAAAAAAATGTCTGTTTTAAGAACATTACAAGTATGTTATTGTGAAATGCTAACGACATACTTTAAAACTCAAAGCAGTAAATATGTGTGCTTCAGGATATTCCTTTAGGTCCCACCTAAAGAAAACCAGCATTTCAAATGTTGACTAAAACATTATATATATATATATACACACACACACACATACACACACACACACACACACACACACACACACACAGAGTTAGGAATTTTAATTTCCATTATGAAGCCTACCATACTAATCATTAAAAGGTATAAGAAATAAAGCACTTGGGTAGTCTAGTACTTCACCTGAAATGTATTTACTAACTCCTAAAAACCAATGTTTACTTATAAGCAAGATAAAAACTTATGATTTTGGAGAGATGTAACTATGTAACTATGAGTGATTTTCTCTTCATCTCATTGTAAAATTCCCTTTTGTCTATTTATTTGCCTCATCTCTACATATGTCATTTATCCTTTAAAGAACTTATACAACTTTATAGAATTTATATCTATATCAGTAAACTGCCAGTCTTTTAATATTTTCAGTGCCCTATCAAAACAAGAGTAATAAAAGCCTTCATTATATGAGGGAAGATGATAATGAAGACACAGTATATGGGAACATATGAATTCTATTAGAGGTTCACTATGGTGATCAAGGTATTTTGGAAATGGCAACCCATACCAGGTAATTTTTCTCCTCATTCCAGGTTCCACCATACAATTTACCATTTACCAACATAGGTGGGCTTCTTTTGTCATTGCTAGTCCATTAACTGAGCAGCCTTCGGGGCTGGTTCTAAGTTAGTAGAGACGGAGGTAGGGCACGGATTTGGATGCCCAATGCCAGGGCAATAACAGGGAGTTTAAAAAGTACATTATACATAATAAAACTTTCACTTAGAAAACAAAATAACCTTTATGTTTCTTGCAAAAGTATTAAAAAGAGGGCATAAATTTTCCTTTATTTATCCTGTAGACATTCAACAAATGTATATTTACTATTTGTTATGCAGTACCAAAAGCTGATATAGGCACTAGATATACAGTACGAAAACAAGTATTGCCCCAGCCTTCTGAGAATTTAGAATGCATAAAAAAGCTGATATTAATAAAACCCTAGAAATCAAGGATTTTATTTTAATTTTTCTAAGAAGTAGAAGATATAGCTATAAGGAAGTAACATATGAAGTCAGTCATCAGTTGGTAGGTGTCTTGTATGCACAGACCCTGCTCAAGAAGGGTCTGAGGACACCAGGGCAAGCGTCCTGACACTTTTCTCCTTCAGAGTCAAGCAGGTCTTGAGGGGGCTGGCATTTACCTCTAGCTCTAAGGTAAAAGTATTTAAGGAGTATTTATCTAACAATGAATGAGGTATAACTCTATTTTCAACTTTACCACTATGTCTTCAGTGTTCAATACAGTCCCTAGAACTCAGCAAATAATTTATGTATGCCTGAATACAGAATGTAACTCCAAATAAAGACTACCTACCCTGTCATAATTTGATCTTTTTGGTGTGGTGAATAAGAGAATAGAAACATAACTGGCAGTGAAAGACCAAAGCCCCAAGTGAAGCTCTAAGGCTTCAGAATGGCTAGCCTAACAGTATATGAATTTACAAAAATGGACACAGATTGGGACTGGTCCACTGGCTTCCTTAAAATAGTTATGTGATATTTTCATTTGTTAGTTAATTAGGACAAAGTGATTTAATTTTTTTTAAAAAAAATGGATGAATGTTAACCGTGGAAATAAACAACTATATAGCTGCTATGGTAAATGGAATAGGGATCCTTTTGAAAAAATAAAACAATATATGATGCACAATTTCACTACAGGATATATACCCCAAAACAGTAAAAACAGGAACCTGACCAGAAACTAAGTTTGTGTTCATAACTGCATTATTACCCATGGCCAAAAGGCAAAAGCAACCTGCATATCCAATAACACACGAAGGCAAAAGCAAAATCTACTACATGAATATAATGGGACAATGCTCAGCTTTTAAAAAATAGGAAGTAGACATTTGTAATGTAGACAACCTACAACAGGGACGACGATGGGGGACAGTCCTTCTGTATGCTGTGAATATATTCTTTCTGGTTTAATAAAACACTGACTGGCCAGTAGCCAGGCAGGAAGTATATGCAGGGCTACCAGACTAGGAGAATGCTGGGAAGAGGAAGGCAGAGAGAGAGTCGCCAGGCAGTCATCAGGAGTTACTGGGAAGATAGGACGCCAGGCATTCTCCAGGAAGCCCAAACTACATGGAGATACACAGATTAATAGAAATGAGTTAATAATTAAGAGAGAGCTAGCCAATAAGAAGCCTAGGCCATCAGCTAAACTGTTTATAATCAATATAAGCCTCTGTGTATTTATTTGGGACTAAATGACTGCAGTACCTAGCAGAACATTTCACTTAGTGTAATGTACTAAGTGAAATGAGCCAAACATGAAACAATGACTACCGTGTAGTTCTTCTATATGAAGTTTCTGAAAGAGTCAAATTTATGAAAGAATAAATTAGGGGCCTGGGTTAGTAGAAAAATAGCTATTGTTTCACTTTGTTTCTATTTTGAGATGATGAAAAAAAGACAAGATGATGATGACAGTTGTACAGATGTGAAAGTGCTCACTATTTCTCAATGAAGTATTAACAGCTGTCAAAATGATAAATTGGATAGATACATTTTACAAGTTAAAAAGTTAAAACATGATGAAGGGAGGGGGAAGGAAGGAAGGAGGAAGGACAGGTATTAGAGAAATGGAATGAAAGAGAACACAGGAGTGGCTATTTTTACGTATCTAGCACACGAGACCCTGTAAGGTAAGAATTTCAAAACAAGAGGACTAACCCTTTCTCTTAACAGTATCTTTACTGATTTATACTAATTTTATTCTGCCATTGGGAAATACTTTTTAAAATGTAAGTCAAGAGTAGCCTGGCAACTGTGGAAATTGGAAGACAATGGGAGTGGAACAAAGAGAGGAACCCAGGAGGAGCTGGTATAATAAATTTCCCAAGATAGGATGATATTCTCCATGGGATACGAAGAGAATAAAGTTTGTTAGGTGTACCTGTACAAATAGAATGAGACAGAAATCTTAGGAAAAGGGTAGAGATGGTTTCAAAAGAAAGTGACATTTCACTTAACAAACACTGATTTGGGTTTTTAATGAGACAAGTATAATCCTATAGGCACTTGGAACATTCTAGAGAATAAAATGACAGACATAAATCAATTTAAACCTGTTTTCAAAGAGCTTGTGCTCTTGTGGTGAGGTGAGGGAAGACAATGTACAGACACAAATATGTTAATAATGACACGTTATAGGGGGTTATGAAAAATGTTTCCAGCAAATGAACAAGCATACACAGACAGAAGACAGACGGATGGTTGACAGGTAGACAAGCAAAAGGAGAGAGAAATGACATGGAAGGTGAAGGGACTCATGTATGAAGCATAAACATTACACAGGATCTTGGAGTAGTTACTAGAAATACAGCTGAAGAGAAACACATTCATGGTGATGAAGGACTTCTAATCAGTATTGAGAAATTCTTACTTTATCCTACAGGTAAGGAGAATCCCCTGAAAATACATGCATGCATCCTGAAGCTGTGACATGAACAGCTTAAAAAGGTGACTCTGGTGACTTCTAATTTTTGGGAATGGTAATTGGTATATTTCCCATTAAGAACAAATAAAAACCCCAGACCTTATATTCAAAAATGAATAAATGATCAATGAATAAGTAAGTAAGAACACTAGGAAAAGTGTGTTGAGACTAGCTAGAACTAGTTGAGAACTAGGTGGGCCTGAGGAATGAAAGTAGTGAGCTCCCATGTTTTCTTTTTATGTATCCCAGAATTGGACTTTTCTAAGAGATGACATCCTAGAAAAGTCAACACACCTAAGGGAACACAACCCCCAAAATGCTGGTCTTTTTAGCCAAAGGACCAAGAAAGGACAGTCAGAGACTCTGTCTATTAGTGAGGGAGAAGAAGACAGCACTCTTACGCGGAGTAAGAGAAAAGGCCTGTGGAAAGAATTTCAAGTTACTTTCATATGTTTTAGAGAGAATAGCAGCTGGATTGAAAAAGATTGTTGTGTGATATTTTGTTTGTGTTCTGACAAATAAGGCTTGCCTGGAGATTAGAGGGTGGAGCTAGTCACTAGAGGTCTAAACAGATAGGAGACAGGAAGTGATAAGGTAGGATGGAGACAGAATCTTGGCCTGTTCAGTCTGAGGATTTGGAGAGGTAGTAAGTCTCTGGTGGCTGCAGCTCTGCTGCTCTCATCTTTCAGCTTTTACCCTGATAGCTGACTCTGAAGTGTTTACTGATAAGACCAATTAGGATCACACTTCCGAAGATTAAGGGTTAAAAATCACAGAGTCTGGAACACTAAGGAAAATTAGTTAGAAGGCATGCAGCCTGGTGTGAGATAGCCAAGCAGACCTGATAAGAGACAAATAGGCCAACAATGGCAGGCCAGCTGGCTAACCTCCATGGGACCTTTCTCCTTTGGGAAAAAACCACAAGGCCCTATTGT